TGTATGTATGTATGTATATATATATATATATATATTAAGTTCATAATGTAAAAATATTTTATATAAGCAATGTAATTAAAATTACTACATGTAAAATGTAAATGCACATTTTTTATATATTAAAGTAAAATTACTGTATATCAATTAATAAGTAGGCCTAATGTAAAAATATTTATATATTTTATAATGTTATTAAAATACTCTATATTAATTAATGTAAACATTTAAATATTAATGTAATTAAAATTACAGGATCTGTAAATGAATTACATTGATTCATTTTTAAAATGACTGTTTCTCAACTTATTCATTAATTTTCTTAGGTAAATGTAATATTTGTTATAATATAAATGGAGTTAAAATTGCACTTTTTTATAAAATAATTTTTTTGTAATTGCATTATATTTACATTGATTAATTTTATACTTTTTTATAAAATGTATATTTAAAAGTTTGTACATATATTACCCTGACTTTAGAAGTACAGTAAATTAAAATAAATAAAATAAATTAAAAAAAATAATTCTAGACATCAAGCACCGTTTAGGAGAAGAAATTATGAAACGAGGAACCATAACCGGATTTATGTTTTATGCATTTCAAGTTAACAAGCATTGGCATTTCCATTAGTCAAAGCAGTTTAAATTTACAAGACGCTCTCAGATACTTAAAGAAGGGATCAAACAGTCTTCATGCGTTTATTGGTGCTTGATCAACACTAGAAATGCAGCAGAAACCTCTACCAATGCGGCATAATACACCCCCGAAACCACGTCTGGTATTTCAGATGTCAAACACAGGACGCACAAGTGCAACAAGAGGACGATTAACATGTAATTCCCCGCTTGAGCCATGTGGTCTGTTTCCCAATATAAAGAGCTTTAGATCAGGCAAGAGCAGCTTCAGCAGGCACTCAAAAGACTGGAGAATGTGCCAAGAACACTGAGGAAAGAAAAAAAAAAAAAAAAAAAAAAAAAAAAAAAAAAAAAAAAAAAAAAAAAAAAAAAAAAAAAAAAAAAAAAAAAAAAAAAAAAAAAAAAAAAAAAAAAAAAAAAAAAAAAAAAAAAAAAAAAAAAACACAATGAAGTCAACAAATCAGACCCATGGCACTCAGTTAAGTCTAGTCTATGACATTTATATAGAGCGTTCTGGAATAATTACGTACACGAGTGAACTACGTCGACTACATGCCCTTGAGTAGCGCAGACTACTTGAATATGAAAGGTTCAACTCCGGCCATCATTGTCTAAAGCAATCATGCCACCTACGACCCACTTCAGACTAAATAATGCATCTTTTATAGACAAGTATTCATCGACATCAAAGCAATTTCAGTAAACAAGCTAGGTGCATCTCGGGCTGACGGATCAATCGGAGCGCGAGCCACTTATTACATTAATGTCAGGCCGGAAAAGGCTGATTGCTCTGCTCCATTTATTCAGCCAATCAAACTACTGTGCTTTGGCGCTAATTAGTGAGTCAGATGAGTTGGAAACCGTCTGGCTGGATGATTCAGACTGAATTTCAGAAAGAAAAAAAAAAGAAAAAAGAAAAAAAGAGCCTGAGAAAATCTGGTCTGGTTAGTCACACCAGTCACTGAGGACTCGTTTCTTGGAAGGAAGTGTTTCTCAAACCACTGAGTGTAAACAAAACGTGTCGTACTTCCTTCCTTAAAGAAAAGCGGAAGATTGTACCAGCGGGGAGGACTGGAGGTGTTTTGGAGCGACAGTAAAGATTTTTAAGATGTCAGCCAAACAGATCCCACCTGTTTTTCACGTTTTATTTGGGTTTGCTAAGACTAGCATCGCAACTATGCATAATTAAGGTTTAGGGTTTGTTTAAGAGGTTGTTAAAGTCTAAATTTACACTATTTACTTTAACACCCACTGCTAGTGTTGAACAATTAACCCATGCAAGTAGGGGTGGGCGATATGTCCAAATTCTAATCACGATAGGATTCATTTTAATTCACAGTAACTATATATCACGATATAGCCTTGTTAATTTTGCTTTAAATAAGGTCTTTATGATATTACAATTTTTTATACCATATACATTTTATAATTTTTATCACAAGTGTCAATATCCCAAGAAACTAATACTAGCCTAAATAAAATTAAAAAAAAAAAACTAAAAAAAAAAGCTCACTGAAGACAAGTAAACAGTCAGCGATTACATAAGAATAAGAAACTAATTACAAACAACAGGACAAAAAAACTACAGTAGAACAAATAAGAAATGCTACATATATTGTATAAAGTAATTCAAATGTATAAAAACACTGCATATTCTTCACGGTGTAAATTAAAAATTTCTTTATTAAAGTTACAAAAGTGATTTAGTCAAAAGCCGTGAGAGATTTTCTCACTTTTGTTATTGGATTAACATGAATGACAGACAGCAGGAATATTAGACTGCTGTCACTTTAAGAGCTGCCCGGATCCAATGTTACACGTTTTCTTTCTCAACTGTTTGCTTTCACTGAAGACCTAAACTACGGTGTTTACGAGGATACTTGCAAAGGTGGGCATTTTGACACAGATACAAGTGTGTATTTAATGGTTCAAGGCCTATAAAGCAGCAAAAATAACTTTACATGCGCCTCTCTGACAGCGCTCAGAAAGTCTCTCAGACAGCGTGAGCATATAGTGAAATGAGTTTTCTTTTGCTGCTGATTGCGTTTCAGCAGCTTAAAATCACTTGTTTTTAAACGCAATGCTTAAAAACACGTGCAAACGATGCGTTTTTGTGACCACGTAGCAGAGTAACGTCACGTGAGCATGTAAATGCGATAGATGCGAGAAAAAAAATGTGTCCTGGCTAGGGCTGCAACAACTAATCGATAAAATCGATTATCGATAATGAAAATAATCAACAACGATTCTCATTATCGATTAGTCGGGTCTGCCCACGGTGCACGTCCAACTTCAGTCGGTTGCATCAAATTACAGCTCTGAATAACGCATTTCTATGGACAAAATGAATCTAAAAATAGTGGAGGAAACAGAATGAGCTCCTGCAGAAAAAGTGCGTGATCCAAGCTGCCCAAAACATGAGAAATCTTTATTTTAAGCTTCAAGCTGATGCATTAGCGCAATGGCTTGCCCTGTCAGGCGCTTTGACAGATACGAGTGTACGCAC